TTGCCGGAGGCATGAAGGAACGACAACTCGATCTACAGTCATGAGGCAGGATCGACCACGGAAATGCACTCGCGGCGTTGATGTAGTTGTTTGAGTTCACCAGCCAAGGTAGTGTTTGGTCAGCACGTCTGAACGTAAGTGACGGCTTTCTGCAAGACAGCGTTTTGAGAAGTTGCACGACGTATGTCGGCTATAGTGATGGGGAGACTTCGGATAGCGTTCGATAATTGATAACGAATGTCGTCCTCGACGGTAACAGCGGCAATCACTGTGTCTTCTACTGCGACATGTTTTGAAATTGGGCGGAAGGGACGGTCGACTTGACCAAAGTCTTGAGTACGGCAGTAGCGGATTTCCAAGACCCAACCAAGAAGGATGACCGCCCAACGCTGAAGTCGGCTAGCCGAGTATGCGGGAATGCCTTTTTGGAACCGAAGGTTGAAAGTAGGGGCTTGTGATCGGTCAAGAGCATGAAAAGCCGGCCATACAGCATCTTGCGGGATTTGGTGAAGGCAAGGACGATGGCAAGGGCTTCCTTCTCTGAAGGCTGTTTTACGACCAACAAAGGGCGAAGCACAGCCAATGCCATGGGTCATTAATTCAGGGAAAATTTCTACCATGACGAGGTGGTAGTTTGTAAAATACCATTGTCAAATGGTGCGTAGTTGGGCCGCGTCTCGGGGTGGGTGAAAGCTGCAGCGTTGCGGGGAGGAATTGAACCTTGCTTTCCACAGCCATTCTGCCGGGGTTTCTGGCGTGTTTTGCGGGCATATTTGGCGGGCCCGCAACAGGATCCGAAGATGAATCGGAGCCCAGCGTTGTTTATCGATAAGCATCTCTTGGCAACACGACATTAGGTGAACCTGGAGACTGCGTTCAAGGTGTTATTATGCAACAACCATCCCATACTTTCGGCAATTAGTGTGGCTTTGCTAAATCGGACTTATCAACCTGTGTTGTGTGCACAGAAACTATTGAGACAATCAATTAGGTTACCGTGGTCTTGATTTTGACAGTTTGATTGGTGTGCCAATTTTTCCCTGTATATAACTGTCTATGTATTCCGCTTGTATTGTGTTTGCTACTGATGAGAACAATCGAAATGTTGACATATTTCAACTTATATCTTCTTAATGCTTGGACGAATGGGCTGAAAGTGACTCAGTGTTTTAACCTTATATATCTCCTCAGCTGTGCGCCTTCCAACGGATCCGTGCCGGGCTGGGACCCCATGACTTCCGGATGCCAGCAGTTACTTCCACTTCGCCATGGGTGACGGCCGCTGACATGCTTGATTGCCAGTTGACTATGATGTAGTCCTGCTCATCTTCTTCTGTCATGAGAGTTACGAACTGTGCATAGGACAGCAGCCATCCCTGCGAGCTACGATTTACCGCCTAACGTCTTGGTACAACGCAAGGGCTTAGAATCTTGACGGTCAGATTTATATTAATAATGAGTATTGGGGATGCAGTATGATTAGAGATGGTTCAACACGGTCGATGCTCGGTTAGCAGCATTTGACTAGTCTGGAAAAGCACCAGTCACCGGAGCTGGGTCAGCTCACCACAAAACATTGTATTCTCTCTATTGGTTTACAATAGCGATGCTAAAGATGATTTGGATGGACGGTGTAGCCAAACAAATTGCTTTGGCGACATTTACTATCCACCTTGTAGCTGTGTTCCAATGGACAAATGAGAATCAAAACCGTTAGACAGCTACAATTGAATTCCAATGGATTCAACGGTTACCCCCGCGCTGAGAATCCCCGTGGAACGCTTTCGCTTTGATGCATAACAACCGTCCTTGTATTTTTCACAGCATCGTCGGCATTTTGCCATGTTATTAAAAGCATGACTGAACGGTAGAGAGATATACGTCAGTTGACATCTTAACTGACCACAATGCATCCGGTGCGAATTTCTCCACACTTGTATGGTTCCATGTATCTATTAGACTCCAGTAAACGTTAGTGTTGAATGGCTGTTATCAAATTATTGAAACAACATTACTGTGAACCACACATTCGATAACCGCAGTCACTTTTAATCTACACCAAAGTATTTTGTTTTTAAAGGAGCGTGTCACCGAATGCTTGAAGTTGGAAAATGCATCCTTACGTCGCGATCTCAAACGGTTCAACAATGCCATCCGGGAAGGAGAAAACCTGGGTGAGCCAGCAGAAGCTATTGATCTGGAACATATGGAAGTGCTTTGCCATCAGTCTATGAAAAGATTACGTGAACTGGAAGTTCAGTGTTTGGAAATGAAGGCACGATGGCTTAAACTTAATCAAATGTTAACCAATGAGAAGGTACTTTACTAACTGCTAAATGTTTGGCCTACTCAGCTTGTGTTTTTTGTAACAGCTGAAAATGTTCACGTCGAAAATACTTTTAACTAACTGCAGTATCCCTGTCTCAGTCTCATTCTGATAGGAAACTCGGAGATCCGTTCCTTAGAACGAAAACACATTGTATCATGAGCCAGAGGTACATCAAGCTATCTCTGCTCAGTTACAGGTTAAGAGCGAGGGCAGTCTGTCAGTTTAGATAGCCAGAAAGCCGGTCCCACAAAATCATTTCGCCTTTCTCCACAATAGACAGGACTAACTTGATGCTTGATGATGATACCGCATAGTAGGTATAGAACTAATTAGGTCACTTACGACTACTGTACCCTAATACGTTAAATCAAATCTTTTTCTATGACATGGAAGTTTCGCGATTGGGATGGGACTGGACGTTCACGAGACATAGCCGAGCAGTTTGATTCCATTGTCTGTTCGCAGTTGCTTAACACCTATATGCGGCCTCATGTAGAATATGTAATCTAGGCTTGGCAGCCCTGGTACAAACAAGACCTTGTAACGCTCGAAACTCCACGGTGACGAGCCACGAAGCAGGCCAAAGCGTTATTCAATCTTCATTATCGACTTTGACTGAACACCCTAAAATTATACAGTGGCCAGTACCGGCGCCTATGTGACGACCTTATTATGGCCTACCAGATTCTAAAGAATCTTAACCACATCTGCCGTCCCCTACTACAACTGAGCCACAACACGAATTTGTGAGACCACCAGTTCAAGTTAGCCATGCAATACAGTCGACTGTAATGTCGACGGAACTTTTACTCTCTTCGTGTGTGTGTGTCAGTCTTGGAACGCCCTCCCAAATTCCCTTGTTTTCGCGCCCATTTTATCTGTGTTTAAAAACATCTTGATGTTGCCCTAACCAACTTACACTACGAGATATAGCCTGTTTGTCTCTACAGACGATATAATGAGACGAAGGTTGCATAACCAGAAGTAGACTAAACAACTTTGGTTGGTTCTTTCTGCGTGTCTCTGTTTTTACACTAGGGTGAGTCCACCAAAACGAGTCTCAATTTATCCCTTCGTTTTTTTCTTTTTGCCATGTTGTGGTTCTCTTTCTGGCCACTCCACAGGGCTTGCTAAGCATCCGCTTCTTGCCCTTAATATACCATTGTTCCAGTGTTTCATCAGTTTGACATGAGCCAGTTGCTCTAAATGCATTTCATGTTAAGTTTGTTGGGAAGAACATTTAAGGTCAAATTGGTTTTCATGAATTCGGATCCTGAGGTCATAAAAGTTCACTGATGAGGGGCCCAGTCATTTATCAAATGTAGGTCACCAACTGTCTGCCCTAAAGCTTTGATTTGTCAATGAGGAGGCCGAGTGAAATGATCGGTACAAAATAGTAACTGCATTACACACATGCTACATTTATTAGTACGAAATGGTAAAAGAGATGGGACTGTCGTAGATGAGGAAATACGTAAAGAACTAGGAAATTTAGAATGTAGGGATTTTAACCTCAGCAGTTGCACAGATAACCAGTTGCTGATGGATGTGCAAAACTAGTTGCTTTGCGTTGCGCATGATTTCCTTACAGATCAAGCTTTGAGACCCGGAGCGTTAACTGTCAGTTAGGTGTGAGATATCCACCGTCGGTTCCAAAAGCCAAAGTGTCAGCCGGCCGCGAAGGAACGCTGTTAAAGCAGACCAGAAGCGGTCAATGGAGCACTGGTCAGCGGCGCTACTTATGCAAAACTTTCAACGGCCTGTCTCTGCTACCTGGCGTCGTCAATTGTAATGACTTGAGTAAGCTTCGTACGCACAAAGATCATGGTACCAGCGTTCGGACACACATACATGTGTTCCTGTTGCGCAATGCCCAGCTTTCCAATGCGACCGCGCGTGGATGGTTAACTAACAAAGGAACAATACGTAGTATATTTTCAACGGAATCCTTTCCTGATGACGTATCTAAACTAGGAAGCACGTATGTGGGATTGTGTTGGAAACAATAGTTTTGCATCATTTACGACGAATCATGCGCAATTCATCTCTTTTCACAGGCAGAAATCGCAAGATTGTTAACGTTCAACAAGCAATTGTATAGCGATATCGAACGTGCGGTCGCGACGACCATCAGGTTGAAGAACGAAATCGCCCGAAATCGTCAGGTAAGCATAATGTTAGTTTTCAACTACAAACAATTTCTCTGCTTCTCCCGTTTTTTACCAGCCGTTGACTTGTACTTCTTTCCTAAACGTATTCAGCAATGTTTCTCTTGCCTAAAACCTCTAAGACACTAAGGATGGCGTTTATATTGAATTATATTTTCAAGTTACATGTGTAGGCCAACATCAAGAGACTACGTCCAGCAACCGGCTTCCTTTGTCTGTGCCAGTGTTGCAGCGACGATACTGAGTAATCTACTTATAAGTGATTATTCTTCAACCAGCGGCTTCTGAGGTCAACTATTTCGCGATGATCACTATAAAGTCTTAACCATCATATTTATTTACGGGGATAAGGTCAGGATTAAAGAAAAATTAGCTTCTGTACCTATTTGCCACTAACGCGGTCTATCCAATCCAAGTTTTTATTGCAGGTTAGCATCCGAACAGATCTTTTAGTGAACTCAGCCAAGGTACTTAACTGTCTAAGTGGGAATTCGTTTGTTGTTCCCTGTCAAACCAAGTCAAGCTTGCGCACCGTTGCAATCGATACAGTTTTTGAAGCCTTTCGAAGAACATTAGGCTACCAGCTACTTGTCTCTGGTCAGTTGTTCTGTTTGCTGTCTTTCGAATATGTAATTTAGCATCAAACTGTCCCAAAGCGGTAATCAGAGTGGGATCTTTATTTGGAATCTGATATCATCCCTGGTTACAGGAAACATTTATTTCTGGTATGACTTTCTATTTACTCTGTGCCCGCTGATTACTTACTGTGAAGCGACAAGCTTTACAACCATGTACATAACACAGTTTATTTTCCATTGGTAGAGGATTTATGATGTTTTTGAGACTCAACGCAGTTAGACCTAGCCAGACATCTACCACACATGCAGGAAAACGCTGTACAGTCGGTTTCTTCTGTGGGGGCTCGTCAGTAACGCGCAACCGCTCGGGATTAACTTCTAAGCGAGTTTAAAACATATGGAAACATCTGGATCCTTATTGGATCAGGAAGACCTTCGTTCCGATCATCCGCAAACCCTGTGTGTAACAGATATAGCGAATGTAGACAGCATTTCACAGATGGTGAGCCTTTTTGCAGTCCTTACATTGATCCAGAAACACCTCCAGTCTACAGAGCAAATCCTCCAAGTTCGCTGTTTGGTCTCCTTTATTATTTAGTTAGATTGTAACACTGCCGATGCATACCGGCACAGAATTCACCAGCTGCTGAAATATTGTTAACGCCGAGTTAACTCCGAGGGGTAATCGATTGACGCGAAACAGTTCACAGTGTTTATTGATTGCCAGCACCCCCGCCGATCGATCAGCGATAGCTGAACCCAGTTTAGTCAATAATCAACTGCCAGATAATTTGGTATCAAGTTCTCATGGAGTTGGTACCGAATAGTTGTGTGTGCGTGTGTGTGTGTGTAGGGACAATATGAATCCATAGAAATATCTACACAGATATGAAGTCAACCCCCTATCCTTACAAGCTACAACGACTGGAGCAAAACTATTAGAGTCCTAAACAAATAGGTATATGCTACCGGATCGTAGTAGATGAATAACTACATGTTACTTACGAGCTAAATACCATAGTTTCTTGGAAGAGAATGTTCAGGTTAAGTCGACCAGCGGATAACTGCTAGATCCGGCTACGTGAGATCCGTAGGTCAGCAAACTAAGCGTTTTGCCTGATGCGCCAATTGGAATTTGTTGAGAAGGAAATACTCGTGAATATCCAATGGCTTCCAAACTCGCATCCAAGATGATGATATTGGACGCTCTGACGCCCAAATGAAGGACCGTGGAACACTCAACATTGTTCACACTCTGGTTACGTGCGCCATGTCCTTATGTTTTGCTTGGTAGCAACCACAATGTGGGTGGTGGTCTTCCATGAGGCCTTCGAAAATGGGCCGTTTAAAGTCCCATTTTTATAGTCAGTATAAAATTTGCATACTCAGTCTTTGTGGTCATGCTGTAGATAGATTGGATCCATGTCGGCAAATGGTTCGTGGTGATGCACAACGTCATGCATCACAGTTCAAGCAAGGTGTAGCTAGTTTCTAGTGTATTGTTCCTGCGATTCAACCGAAGTGGTACTCATTGAATTGACCTTGCTCTGCGACACATGACGGAACCCTTCTGCAGGTCAAACTGACGTTTACATTCTTTAACCATACATTGTCGAGAGACACCTGCATCTTTCCCGAGGTTTGCTAGGAGCCGTAGGCTGATATCCGCTTCTCCACTGAAGATTTACAACGACTGAACTGTGACTCAGCAATGGATTTCAACTTGAGTCGTTTGCATTCCCGGCCATATATATCAGTGCAACCAAACTACTAATTAAAAGTATGTGTGACCGGTAGTAAACTGTGGTCTCGTAAACCCTGAATACTCAGGAACTTTTGTAGGAAAACTAACTCTTACAGGGTTGTGTGGAGATTTCTTATGCTTTTTAAACATTCCTCGCAGATAGACCCAGTTAGCTAGCCACTATGCATCCAGGAACGCACTGTACGGCCGTGGCTTTCTATTGGGACTCGTCAAAAGCGCACATTTGCCAAATGCTCTCAGATTCGAACCATCGACCTTTCTCTTACGAGTCAGTGGCAAATACTACTGAGCCATGTGTGACGGCAGCGGACCGCCAATCCTGGTGTTTAACTGCGCGACGTAGCCTGGCACATCCTCCACCATCATGCAATGGTTTACTAAGTACAAAGGAAGAAATCGTGATTTATAAGTCAAAGATAGAAAGCCCTCTATGACTGAGTGCTCAAGTCACCATGCTTTATGAAAATGTGTGTCATGCTAGGTATCCACTGGAACATATTGACATATTTCTTACAACAACACATTAAGCCCCATAATCATTACGTATCTTGACAGCTGATATAGCAAGGCTTGCTTGCGCAAAAGTTCGACTGATTCTACGCAGTAGTTTTGGTTGGTGCTCTTTCAAATATGTGAAGTGAAAAGCATCATTTTCAGCATATTTTGCTTTCTTTTCCTGTCGAAATGGTAAAAATTATGATCAAGCAAGAAAAAGCTTATCTGATGTATATGGGGATGATGTATTGACAGAACGCTAGTGCCAAAACTGGTTAGCAAAATTTCGATCCGGCATTTTTGAGGTTGAAGATTCACCACGTTCTGGAAGCGGTTGAAGCGGATTAAGACACAATGAAGAAAATAATTGATGCTTATCGGTGAATAACAACTTGTGAGATCGCCGAGAGGTTAAATTTATCGAATCCGGTCCTTCATGATCATTTGAAACGCCTAGGTTTAGTCTCGAACTTCGACGTATGGTTTCTACATGTTTTTACGGAACGAAATATGTGCTATTGCTTTGGCGTCTGCGATTTAGTTGTAAAATGATCCATGTTCTAAGCGTATCATCACTGGAGACGAGAAATGGGTGGTCTACAACGACGTTAAAAGCACGCGACCATGGGGTTGAAAAGATGAACCGGCTCAATGCACTTCGAAAGCTCTGATATTCATCCAGAAAGGTGATGCTATCTGTTTGGTGGGAGTTCAAAGGAGTCGTTTTTCAGCTTCTACCGGACAACGCAACAATCAATTCAGAAGTATACTGCCATCAGCTGGACACATTGAATGTGTCAAGTTAAAAGGGCAGCAATGCTCAATAGAAAAGTTGCAGTGTTCCACCAAGGTACTGCAAGACCTCATACAAGTTTGCTAAATCTCCGAAAGACTTTACAGCCTGGATAAGGTATACAGCCACAATCGCCATATTCTCCAGATCTGGCACTTCTGAGTATTATTTGTTCCTTTCTATACACAATTTAGACGGTAAAACCGTTACTTCAAATGAGGAGGTCAAAAATCACCTAAGTCAGTTTTTTGTCACTAAATAATAAAAATTTATGAGTGTGGAATCATACAACTGTCAGAAAAATGGCAAAAGCTATTGGACAAGGGTGAGCAATATATAATACAATAAAATATTTATTCACTATAAGAAAGTCCTTTTACATTTTCATAAATGAATACAATTACTTTTCGAACAAGCAGATAACAAAAATCATCAGAAAGCTACCCGGAACTTTTTGGCTGATGGTTGCATCAATTATATTTGGGTAAAGTTTGTCAGTAAGTTCAGTGCTCTGATCACATCAGCGGCGGAAATCAGATTTCTTCGTTCAGCAAGAACACCATTATTCATTCAGATCAGAACTCGAAGACGGTTGTTGGTAAGAGACGCAACTTAGCATGCGTACATATATAAGTCTAGCCCTGACAACTGTAGCGACTATGTAGCGTTGATAATCACTTTACTACACTTGTCCCTGAGGACGAGTTCGTATGTCAGTATGCTTAGAGGTAAAGTCTTGTCTCAATAACAATCTGATATGCAAACATGTGAAGAACGTTCGAAAAATAAAGCGTAGCATTCCTTCACTCATCCCAGTAAAAGGGCGTGCTTAAATCCTCGAGGATGTAGCCATTGTTCTGCATTACAATATACCACAATGTTCCGACACGCCACAGGGTAAAGTCTTGTATCTGTCCCATCCTCTCACACACCATAATCTACTCACATCACTTATAGTTCAGCAATTATTTTGAAGAAGTTGCTACTGCTGTGCATTCATAGTTCCACCCAGAGTTGATGCCAGGTACTCGAGCGCAGGAGGTGCCGGCTTCGAGGACACCCGAGCCACTGGCACGATTTTTTCAAAGACACTTGGACAAATAACAGGTCCTAACATGTGGAAGCAGGCTATCACTACCTGGTTTTTGAGCATGGTATCTGTTCAGTAGCAGCCGTCTATTACCATCCCATTGCTATCAAAGTTGTCGAGAGTGTTCGGTACTGAAACACTGATAGCCAAATTAACAATATTTGAAACAATTAGATCCCTTTAGTAATTTGAATAATGCCGTAAGAAGACGAACACTGGCAGATGTCAACATTTCTTATTGTCTCTTCAGTGCCAACACAATAACATGAAAATATA